CACGTGCACATTCTTCTATCTAGATCTGGCAAGGAAGGGAATAACAAGGAGTATTACACTCTGGAATGTCTTCTATTTATTCTCAAGAACATACAGTTAACCCATCCTGTTTACGTCAGACAAGCAGCTGTGAGTACTTCATACTTCTGTAAAACTATGTTTTTTCGGAAACTATTACAATACTAAAGGATCTTTTTTTTATAACAGGCTGCAAATATATCGGCTGTGCGTCGGCCCGATCGTAAAGAGTTGCTAGCATACTTAAAAGGTGAAACATCTACCTGTGCTTCCATAGACAAAAGTGCACCTTTGGAGATTCCCACACAGGTACATTTTAAAATCAACTCAATGTATGAATATTTAACCAGATTAAATATAGAGATATTTAAGAATGTAGTGAGTTATGTTTAACAGTGGTACAGCACACAAATGTAATATTATATTGAAGAATAATTTTCTAATTTTTATAACATTTTTAGGTTAAACGTTCTCATGATAATGATGGAGGGGAATCTGCAGCAAAGAAGCCACGTATTGAGGAAACCCATGTACAAAAGGTGCGAGAGCAGCTTGCAGCACGTCTTGATGCACCCAAAGAAGCATCTGTCACTGTGGACAATATTAAGTGAGAATTTATTGTTGTCTACACACTTTATAAAAGTATTTATTATATATAATTGCTCAGAAGCAGGATACCTCGATCTGCATGCATTCTGAATAGCTAGAGATAGAAAAGTAAAAAAAAAATTACAGACTCCAAATTCTTAAGATGTTACATTGAATGTCCTTAGGTCTCTGTCAGAGGCTATGTCAGTGGAAAAGATTGCAGCGATCAAGGCCAAGCGTTTAGCTAAGAAGAGAACTACAATAAAAAGTAATGACTACTCAGACACTTTAGGTGTAGTTGGCTCAGATTTTAGGGCCATATTAGACTATGATGTTGATCTGACTAAAGACATTATTAGTCGTGAAAGACAATGGAGGACTAGGACAACAGTATTGCAAAGTAACGGCAAGGTATGTTATCATTAAATGTTGCTTTCTGAGACCTAAATCTCTGAATGAAATGTATCATCATTATTACTGTTCATCATATTATCTTTGACAAAACAGATATAACATCATGTTTTAAACAGGGAGTTCAATCAGAAACTCACAATAAGTATTAATTCATATTGAGGTTCTTAATAATTGTTCGAAACTACTAAAAATATAGTTTTCCCGTTCATTCTCAGGTAAAGAACTCGGGAATATAAGACCATTAAACTGTTAAAAATTGTTGGACTTGTGTTATCTGTACAAATTAGGTAAATTCATTTAAAAAGTGTAAAATTGCTCTTATTTCAGATGTTTGCAAAGAGTATTCTTGCTCTCTTAGGTAGTATTAGAGCGCGTGAGGAAGGTAGACTCGGCGCACCCAGACCGCAGCCTGTAGTGATGCCTGCGTCCAATGCATTACCTGCACAACAGACACAGTACAACAGATACGATCAGGAACGGTTTATTAGGCAAAAAGAAGGTAAGTAAAGTAAAATTTTTGTAATTGTTTACTCATGGTCAAAAATATCATTAATATTTTGTCTCAAAGTGGCCTAGCTGATGAGGATTTAAAGCATCCCTGCTCAAGTTGAACTATTATTGTTAACATAAGATTTTTCTACTTATAGAGACTGAAGGATTCAAGATCGATACAATGGGTACATACCACGGTATGACGTTGAAGTCGGTGACGGAAGGACCGAGCGTGCCCGTAGCTGCGCGCACGCCGCAAACTCCCAGCCATCCACGACAAATGCCTCGTAAGTTGATAAATATATGAATATTAACTACAAATGTTATGTCCTCTGTAACTGAAGTGTGTATGAAGAAGTGACAGAGTAATTTGTCACAGTAAAATAAATGTTGAAATAATTAAGGTTCGACTAATATTATCTTAAAATGTGAATTTGTTGCGTTGTAGCTGCAGCGGGTACAGGTGGAGGGGGTGGTGGTATGTCCGGTGTAGTGGTCGGGGGTGGCGCGGTGGGCGGGGCAGCAGGCGGGGTGGCGCGGCGCGAGCTGCTGCCGGCCGCAGCGGCGCGCGCCCCGCCCACCGGCGCCAAGCGACCCTCGCGCACTCCCATCATCATCATACCCGCCGCCGCCACCTCGCTCATCTCTATGTACAACGTCAAGGACATGCTGCAAGACTTTAAGTTGGTATTTTGTACACTTATCAAGCTTTAGATATGTCTCCTTTTCCTCTAAGCGGTTAGCCATGCTTGGTCTTGTTCAGTCGCAGCCGTAGAGGACAAAAGGAAATTAAACATTTGTTCAAAGTAAAACAATATTTTAGATTTGTTCCTGTTGAGCAAAAGAAGTCCGAAGGAGCCGTTCGTGAGAATGAAGTGTTACTGCAACGAAGGAAAGGCCCCGCCGCTGACCAGATACCAAACAATGCAACCACCATTACTGTGAGTTTATAGTAAAATATATTTTTAATCTATTTTAAATTTAACTAATGTAATCTCAATGGGGAGATAATCGTTAGCGTTGAGAGGGGGCTGTCATTTGTCAATTTTTATACGTCATTCTTGCGATTTAAAAAGTATTCCTTTTTTTAATTTTGTTACAAATAAGACTATCTTAAAAAATTACTAATTTAAAAAAAATTAAGTATAGTTTGTCATAAGTATCACTGTTTGTGCAGGTGCCGTACCGCGTTGTGGACAACCCGGGGCGTCTGTCGGCTGCCGAGTGGGATCGTGTGGTGGCGGTCTTCGTACAGGGTCCTGCCTGGCAGTTCAAGGGCTGGCCCTGGGATGGGAACCCAGTACAGATCTTTGCTAATAGTAAGTTACACCATCAAACATAACATTTTATAAAGAAACTAAGAACAAGATTGTATGATTTAATTTACAAACCCTATGCAAAAAAAAAACAAATTAAATGCGCTATTCCTGGCTGTAAGATGTTTTTAAGATTAACTATCTTTTCAACTGTACACAATATGTTATTTACAGAGAGCAACATAAATAAAAACTAATGTAATAACTGTTTGATATTTTTCATCCAAAATAGAAGATAAACCTTCATACATAAATAATTAAACATTTAATTTGTTATTTCGTTTATAAATAAGAAATGTGTTGTCAGTTTGCGCGTTCCACTTAAAATACGACGAGATGAAGCTGGACGGCAACGTGGCGCGCTGGGCGGTCACCGTGCTCAACCTCAGCCGCACCAAGAGACATCTTGACCGGGCCGTACTGCTCGGCTTCTGGGAGACCTTAGACAAGTAACATTACCTAACCCACTACTATTTTTTTTTATAAGGAAGTAAACGAGCTCTAATAAGTCCCCACTGAGAGAATCAGTCAGAGATGACTAGGCCATAGTAACTATGCTGGCCCAGTGCGGGTTGACTTTACACATATCTTCGAATTTCTTCCCAGAAATGTGCAGGTTGCATCACGAAGTTTTCCTTCACCGTAAGAACGTCGGATAAATGTACATATAAAATTCGAAAAACACATTGGCACCTAATGAAGATTGAATTAGGACCCTGTAGGTTACAGGTGCTTAACTCCAGTGTCACCAAGGATTTTTTTTTGTTTCAGGCACATGATGAAGAATAAACCACATCTTAGATTCTAAGTTTGTTGTAGGATTATAGAATTTTATCTTAAAGACTATACCGTGTGAATATAATATGAATGCCTTCTAAAGCATAGAGAATCTAAGTCAATTCAAACCATTTAACAATAGTTTGGCTATAATACTTACTATATATAATCTGTAAACATATATGACACTTATCTATAGTTTATGTAAATTGTATCCGTAGATAGCAAAAATAATGCAATTTTAAATACTAAAGTTTGTCATGTAATAAATATAATATTCAAATTACTTTTTAAATCTACTTTCACTATATTGTAATATTTTGTATTGTTGTAAAACAATATAAATTAACATTTGTAATTTTAATATAGCGATACAATGCAACAAAATGTATTAAAATGTGCCTTTAAATATAATCCGTAAGAAACTGAAGCAATACTATGTTATATTGGTCAATAAATCCTCATTGTTATACGTTATTTGATTTTTTACCATTTAAAAAGAATAAAACTAACCTTTTTAAAATAATTAACTGCCATTTATAATCAAGGAAACAAGGAAAAGTAGTTTTTCATATGGATAGAAATTATAATTCACAATAATTAGTACGAACAATCGCTCAATACTTTTTTCTTGTGTTATACAGTGTGTTCAAATATTTGGCTTTATTTTTGGTTGATGATTAAAAGCTAAGCTAACAGTTTTATTATATTTATGTGCTGAGTTGCAAAATGTATAGAGCATGTTTTAAAATACACAAGCTTAGTGCAATATTTTATGTTGTGAAATTAAAAAGACGATTAAATACACTTATTTGCTCTATAAATTGATGGGGTGGGCTTTTAGACCATATATTGGTTAGTGTATTTTTGACTTAAATTTTTTAAAAATATTATGGTAGATATGTATGTATGAATATATCGTGAATATTAATATATTTTAAATAGACAATATTTACCCAATAAATAAATATATATTAATTGCGTAGCCAAAATATTTTTAAATGGTGTTGGAACGTTCAAAGATCTGTGATCTTTGTTTTATGACAACAATAAACTGTTGAATATTATCTGTGTATTTTTAATCTTTTTTCCTTTTACCAATCCAAAACAGGCAAATTTGCGATAACCTGCACTTAGTAAAAAAATTAGTACTCAGGAAAATTTACTTTTATTTCTATATCATATTATTTCCCAAAAACATGCTCGAGCGTTGCTGAAATTATTCAACGGTTTCGCGTCTGCTTTCAAATTCCTTGAACAGGAAAAAATACTTAAAAAGTTCATTTGATCATAAAAAATCGTGAAAGGCAAAATGTTGCTCAATAATGTACATGTGAAACAGTAACAAGTAATTCTTCAAGAAATACATGGAAAATAAACACACACGAACTTTCAGTTGTCTTTATTTAAAATTTCAAATAATCAATGTAGTATATAACATTAAATAATTTTGTTTTCTCCCAGAGTATAGCCATAAGTACATAGGATAGTATGTATTGAAGGTAGATGTTTGTATTGCAAGAAATTCGTATGTAGATAAAAATAAAACCCTTCGTTATTTTAAACAAATATCACATAGTTGGGTGTGTACTTGTGTGCCCAAAATTACTTACACATTAATAAACTCGCCGGCTTGAAATGTTATAGATTTTATTATGCTCGGGACCAAAATAGATAATTTCTTGCTTCGCATCGCAATCGCATACATAGATAATATTAAATTTTATAAAATGTCACTTATGAAAATATCTTTGATAAAAACAATTTTGCAACCTACTTCTGCCCCGGTAAGGAATGATAGGACCAATATTTACCGATCGCAGACTTCGGCCGCTAACAAGATTTAATATAAATTATAAAAAGAAAACACGCTTTAGTCTTTAAAATAGGATATTTAAACAGATTTTTGATTGTCCTTCGTTAAAAAAAAAACAAAGCATCGGTAGACTTGAACAAGTTTCAATTAAAGTAAAGATGGATTCCAATCAACGTTTTCAACAAATTTGTGTGAAGAAAATGATGGAAGTAGCATTGTTTTATTTAAAAGACAATAAATATCTGTTACTTATCCTTTATAAGTTTTTAATATCGTAGATAAAAACAAACTGAATCAAAATATGACACGCAGTTAAAGATTAAAAACTAAGGTTGTCTATGAATGGATAGATGAACTAATTAACTATGAGTTTTAGCACAATCACTCATAGTGACGTTAAATGGTACAAGCTCATTCGAGATTATTCCCTGGGGTTGCTGTAATTGTAGTAAAAAAGCCTAAATCTCGAAACAGCTTGACCAAACAGGAATGATTCGTGCAAACTAATGAAATGGCATATGAAACACTACTTGTCTAAAAAAAGATTGCCAGTCGGCTTACAATTCTTATTAAATCCTAATTTGAGAACATAAAAAGAATACAAAACTTTAAAAATAAAATTCGATATTACATATTTTATTGCTAGTTAAGATTCAATCTAAACAATATCTTCTAATTCCCATAAAACGAATAAAACAATACATAGGTAAATTTGAAATCTTGAAAATATTACTTTGCGTTCCGGGAGTGTGTTTAGTAGTTAGAATAATAATTGGATAAATAAATTCTATGAATTTCAATTGTCCCGATTTTAATAATATTTTTTTTTCATTTAACAAATTTCGAATATTTTTTGAAAGGAACATATTTACTATTTCAGTCAATTTAGATATAACGCGCTTGAGACATCGTCCAATTACATTTTGGCAATTTATATAACTTTAAATTGATTAGTTCTGTTTACTAACTAATCGAAGACAAGGTTTAACAAAATTTCAAACTCATTTTTTTAAATGCCTAACTATAATTTTTTTATATATTAACTAATCAAAAGTAACAATTCGCAAAACCTGCATTTCATAGATAATAATAAAATAGCAAACATATACTATGCAGATAAATAATAACAGCGATTTATTCCGAAAAAAAAAATGCTATTTAAAGTCGAGCTGAGACTTTTCAATATTCAAATGTTGTTGATGTTGGCACCACTTCCAGCACCATTTGCAGGAAAACCGTTATTTTATCTAGAGAAAAAAAACGTTGTCATTAATTATAAACTTTAAAAAGCGTCACTTTTGAAAATAACTTGCCGATACGGATATAAAATTGAACGAATAATTTGCTACGAAAGATAATAGAAGGAATGTTATTCTTTTTTTAACTCCATTAGTGGGATAGTATAGGAAGAAAGGATAGGAATAGGAAGTTGTTTAGGAAGCCTAACTAAAACATAATCTACGTAAGACTACTTTTAACTAATCTAACTAATATTATGAATACGAGTGTTTGCATATATGAATAAATGTTTCAAGTTGCCTTGCTAAAATTTGGTATAAATACATACATATACATAGCCTGGAAAAACAGGAACAAAACAGGAAGTAGTACATAAATTGTTTTTACTCGTGCACTGACACTCGTTTGCGATTCACTTTCATACGATTAATATAATGATCTTACCCATGAAGGGCAGGGAGTAGGACCACTTGACGAAGGGCACGTAGACGAGCAGGCCTGTGAGGATGAAGGCGGTGGCGTAGAGGTACTCCCACTGCGGCTTGTTGATCACCGGCCCCACCACCAGGTACACAGACACCAGCAGCACGATGTATGGGATTATCACTGGCACCTGCACGCAGTTACACTTTCTATCTACACTTGTACACTTACTTGTACACTTCTACCCACCTACCTCAGGAAAGCCATCACATATCTAATTGTATTTGTGATTTGCAGTCATAAAGAAGAGATGACCTAGTCTGTTATAAACTTTATATTTGAATAATTTGATCTTTTAAAACATATCATAATATTTTCAGATATAATGCTTCGAAATAGTAACAGAAAATGGTCACTGGATATGAAATAAATGTAAATATGTGTGTGTGAGTGTATTATTACAGATGTTCATACTACAAATCCTCTAAATAGATGAAACTATTCTGTGTATGAGCTGCGAGTGCAAAGTATGCATACCTTGTAAGGTCTAGGCGCGTGCGGCTTGGTGTAGCGCATCACGATGAGCGCGAGCATGGCGCCGCCGTAGAAGATCCACGCCGTGAACGAGAAGAACTCGATCAGCGAGTCGATCGTCCCGTACAGAACCATCGCCACCGCTATCAGCGACTAGCAACAATAAATCACATGTGCGCTAAAGAATAACTTAAGTATATGCCTATCCAAAAAAAAAACGCCTAAATGTTGTTAATATAAATGCGTTCTTTTACAGACATGTAGACTATTTCTTATTCGAAGTGAAGTTAAAATTGAAAGTTTTCGGAACATAAGTGGACTAAAATATTAGCTATAGACAATCGACGTGATTATCTAGTTTAATTATAATTTGTAGTTTGAATACTTATGTTTTTTAGATATTTCTTGTAAATTTATTCATGCATATTAAATAACAAAGAAAATTACGTGGAATATAAGTCCGGGTGCGGGGGTGAAGCGGCGCACGTGGACGTAGGACAGAATGTCCAGCAAGTGGCCCTCGCGCGACGCCGCGAAACACAACCTGAGAAACGATACCTTTACAACTTACTGTTCGAAACATTGTATTACAAACATCGTCTTCACATTTTTACAGTCACCGATAGCGCATTTTACACCCGCTTACTTAAATATTATGTAAGTATCGATTCCATTTTTTTATCTATATTCTGACATGAAGGACAAATGATTGAAATGTTTTATTTGTAAACGTTGTAAGTTACCTTCCGGCAACGAACAGCGTTCCATTTGCAGAACCGAAGGTGGATATGGTGACGGCGAGGGGCATGAGCCAGGCGAGCGGGCCGAGCACGCGGTTGCCGAAGGTCACCGCCACCGCCTCACTGCTCGTCATCTCGCTCACCGACATCACGGCCAGGTACGACACGTTCATCAACGCGTAGCACAACGTCACCAGCGGGATGCCGATTATTATGCTCAGAGGCAGGTTCCTGCAACATTACATCATCATTTTGTACGCGTCCCCTCCTGTGTCTTAAATGTTGGCAACACATCTGCCAACTTTTAACTTATAGCAAATATGCACCGCGTTTGACTCCACTTTGCATAAACACCTAAGCGGTGTGGATAGAAGGCAAGAAATTGAAAAAGGATTGCTTTCACAACTGAAATCGTATGGTGATATAAACTTCCAGTTTTTAAAAATATTATTTAATTTTATATTTTTAATTCATATTAATACTATAATTTAATTATGTTAATCATTTTTTTATAATTTATGTATCTGTAACACAAAATCAGATTGAAATACCAAAAGTTTACATCCGAAATGATTTAAAAAAATCATACCTGAAAGAAATGATGTCTAAAGCAGAGTGTCGCTACGTTTTACAAGAAAGAATGTTCTCTATATTCAATATCAATCAGATGACAAACTAATGCGATGTAAGTCTGTATATAAGATGGACGGTTATATACTAACTTGGATGGGTTTTTAATTTCCTCGGTGACATAGTTGAGGTTGTTCCATCCGTCGTAGGCCCAGAGGCCGTTGTAGAAAGCGATGGCGATGTTGCCCAGAGTCGCCTTGCTACTGGCGAAGTTGGGCTCCTGTAAATGTCGCGTATTACCTGCACCATACGGACACAACCAGCTGTCAATCTCTATCTATATATTTACATCCCATTATGATAACATGATCTCTAATGTTGTGACGCGGTGTTGTATTTATTAGTTTACATCACGATTCTTAGGGTGGCCAGATTCTCCGAATATCTATAAGTAGTTTTGATTTCTAGTCTGGCAACCCTTGTTTATTAATGATTGTTAGTGAATGTCAGTTAATGGTATTTGTTTTTTTTTAATTAAAACTATGAAATAAACTGTGTAGAATTGGTAAAGCGATCTAATGAACTACGAGATAAATGACCCAGAAATGTCGAATTTAAAAGAATATGCCAAAGAAACGAATTTCTAAAAACTTCTATTCATAAACCCACTACTTCTGTATGAATGGTTTCTAAGTGAAATGTGTGTAAAATTGAGGGTGGTTCGGGATCTTTTAAATACATCAATTTAAACTTGTATAAAAGATTACCTAATCCAAGTTTGTAAGCGCCGCCACACACAATGATGAGGACGGCCACTAGTTTGGCCGCCGTGAAGATGTTCTGCACATTAGTGGCCAGGTTCACGCTGTAGCAGTTAACTGCCAGAATCATTACTGTAACATGAAACATTTCAATTATACCACATGGCATGTAAACCCTTCCTATAACATCCTCATTGTTGCCTCATAAGAACAATTTGGATTACCACCTTTGGACAATAACCCAACATCTAACCGTGGATTTACACTATCGGTAGTGAAATTTTGAAGTGTAAAACATAGTATATGGGGCGATAAAATCCGGTATAATCTCTGGGCACTAGTTTATTTATTTGTTACTTGTATAAAACTGATACCAATGCATATAACGGCGACGAGTTTGACAAGCGCGCCCGGCGGCTCGCACTCCGCTACGAACGGCTCCACAGCGTACTTGGCGAAGCTCAGGCAGATTATAGCCATCTGTGACGGCTTCAGCACCAAAGTCGATACCTGCCAATAGTTCACGACAATTAGTTATAAGGATTACGTTCAAAGCTACCTTATAAACAAAAATTCATTTTTACTTTTAATTGGTTAAATAAAGACGAAAATCTAATCGTCTAGTTTTTTAAAACTAAACTTTAGTTTTTTAAATTGTTACCCATGAGAAGAGGAACGCAGGTGGTCCCCCGAAGGCGTCCATGAAGTAGGCGTACTCCGCGCCCGACGACGTGTTCATTGTGCCCAGCTCCGCGTACGCGAGCGCACCTGACACAATTGATTCGATTTTAAAACTATAAACCACCACATATTTTCCTACCAAAGGGAATCGATTCGATCCTAAATTAACGGTTATTATGTGCATCCACGCCTTTAATTGCATCCCAGATATGTGCAGGTTGTATCAAGATGTATTTTTTTTATCTCGAAAACATCGGAAAAATATACGACGAGGATCATAAGACCCATAGATTAACTACGTTCAATGCGCTGCGCTCCATCTGATCGAACTGATCTTACCAATGATCTTACATAACATTATACATACATCAAACATTATTAAAATATATATAGGTGCTGTTTATTTACCAAGTAGCGACAACAGGCCGCACGCCATCCATATGATAAAGCTAATGCCCACTGAGTCCGTGTATTCTAGGAGCCCAGAGGGCGCGACGAAAATTCCCGAGCCTGGAAAAAATTACGTTAATGTCTTACATAATTTTACATTCATTAAAGTTTTCAATGACAAGAGGAAATCCAATGAAAACAAGATAGGAATTTACACAGCCTTATTACGGTATCAATGATAAAATTTTTACCTGTTTAAAAAAAACCTAAGTTACTCTTACAGACATAAGCCAAGTTCCAGTAAAAGTCTGGGACAGACAAGATTTAAAATATGGTTTTTCGATATTATAGACACTTCAATTTTATTAATTGTATATAATAAGAATGATTATGGACATAAATTGTTTGACGCAAATAATCTTGTGAAGCGCCGCATGCGCATGTTATTTTTTTACACAAATAAAGTTTGTGTCAAGGCTGACTTCGCACATGATCTTATTTTTTTAATTACATCTACATACCATACCTACAGCTAACAGATATCGAGTCAATATTTACGTAAGCAAATATTATGACTATATGTTTAAACAATTTATGGCTATTAATTATCACGAGAAGTAAATAAAGACTTAAAATGTCGCGTTAAGTTAAACAGAAATGCCTTATGATGATGCAGTCACGAGATTTTTAATTTGTTTTGTACAAGTATAAAAATTTTATACTATGTTACGGGACAACGACTTGTGATTTTATGACAAATTATATTTCGTATTTTAGTAGGTAAGTGTTTGTTTCTGTATTTCCTATGAGATTCGAATAATCATGAAGATTTTCAGACGCTACCTTATTTGAGATAAAACAATATTGGATATTAAACAAATATTTTTATATATAGCTATTTGACCTAGTGTGTAATAACACTTCGCAAACAAAAATGTGTTACCGTTTTTTAAGTTGTAGTCGTTTACATATAGGCGCGGGGTGTTTGTAATAAATTACCATAGGCGTCATCACAGATGACGTCGTTCATGCGTCTTTTGGACAACCTTGTAAAATCCTGAGTAAAATAAGATTTACAATCGTTACAAACAAAATGTTTGAGGTCTAGTTTTACAAAAAACAAACTACAATTTTATAATTTAGTTATAGTTCAGAATAGATACTTGTTACTATTAGAACAGATTTACACATTTACATTATCAATATTTTCGATTTTAATTTTATCTAATTTATACAATCTTTCTTACTTATAATACATTCAATTTTAAATGAGTGAGAGGTTAATGAAGCGATAGACTCTAATAATTTATTTTTGGATATCATACGCTTCGTTACGCAATTAAAACCAAAGCCAAATAAACGAGGTGCGGCAAAATGCGTCAGGTCGTTTTGACCGCTCGCCGGTGATAACGTAAGTTTCGCGATTCAGATATGAGGGCCTATCTATTTTCGCCACGGACAAGTATATAAATAGGTTCTCTCGACGTGAAACAATTTTTTTGTATCATTACCATTTACAATGAGAAAAATTGAGATTTACCAAACAAAACGTGGCACGTTCTATCGGTTTGAAGTATTTTTACTAATTGTTGAATATCAATGATTAACTGATACGTTTATTTACAAATTTTAGCTATTTAAAAATTAAATTATGTATTTTTTTTATGTTTGCTATTGCATTAAAATTTTGAATTTAATTATTATAGGATAAATTTGATGTACTTAAAAAATAAAGCAACATTTTGAACAAACAATTAAACTATTAAATTGATTTTTCTCCGATGGGAATAAATTATTCTCTGAACTGATGATTTCATAGTGTCTTATTTAAAGAAATGGTGTATAAACTTACCTATCATGGTGCCGACGATTAGAGCCACCCCACTGAAGAGTCCCACCCGTCTCTTGAGGTGAACAGGGTCGTCCGGAGCTGCGCCCGACCCCTCCAACTACACACAAAATAAACAACTTAATTTTTTAACTAGAATTCCTACCGTGACATTCGAAGACCAAAACCCCTGTATACAATCGTCATCCCCGTCATTATCTTTGACAAAACAGAGGTAACAAGTTATTCTTTCACGGCTTCTACGAATTTAAGTTTTTTTTTTAATATTTTCAGAAACGATGAAAAAAAAATATTTATTTCAAGCCCACATCTAAGATATGAAATAAAAGATACTGCTAGAAGTTGCAAACATTTCTCATCAAGAGTACTTAAGTACTGAGCACAAAGCTTTTAAAAGCTCCAAGTTTTAATCTATTGTCTTAGATAGCTGCTCTGCAAACGACTGAGTGCTTGTTATTTTCAAGTACGATGTTAATCTTTGTAGAGTTTTTTTATTTAACTATCACTTACAACTCTATTAGAGTACCTAATTTCAAATTTCAAACATTTTATAGTTTCTTTTTAAACGGCAAAATATTAAACGGTTCTCTCGATGTTGGAAACGTTCCTTAATTTTATATTCTACGGACACTTTGAGGTTAGGTATACAATGATTACGCCAATGAAAAAGTCATGTATTACTCATATTGAAAACTAGCATATTAAATTGTATTGTAATTTTTGTGTAACAATTATAATAAATATAATTTAAAGTTTTGCTGATATAAAAATCCAATCGTGTTTGTTTGAACTACATTTATAGCTTATAGTTGCAAAAAAATGACACTAAGCAAATGCGCTGTTCTTAGCTGTAATTAAATAATATATCTATACACTTGTCATTTAAATTAGAACTGTCTATGTGTTCTTTCTCAATATGTACATGTTGCAGTTACATTGGACTCCTATTAAATTTTTACACAAAATAAAAGAACATTGCAAAAATTTAAGAGACTAATTAGATTTTCTATGAATTTAAAAGGAAAAGTTAAATGTTGGAAAATAGTCGATACCGTTTTGGAGATGTGTATGGACAACAGTCGCTTCGCTTTAGCGAAGTCATGAAACTTTAGAAAAACTAATGAATTTATAGCGTGAAATGTGCGGTGTCAGCGTACCTTGTCTCCTGGGTTGAGGTTCCCGTCGGTAAGCGCGCCCGCCGCTCCATCCTCGGCGTCGCAGCCGCCGGAGCAGCCGCGCCACACCACTCCGCCTTCGCGTGTGCTCCCTGCACACAATTAACACCCTTTTAATACTTACGATACAGTCTAATATTGCTTAATACGAGAATTAGAGGAAGCGTTCACTGCTGAAAAAACGATTGGTGAAACTTTGTGGTAATCCTAAAAAAGTTCATATACGTAAATTTTTACTCTGTAAGAATTACCCAAGTTTCGTACAATGTAGAACAATATATTGTTTTGTAAGGCTTTTAGCATAGAAAATGTAAGTTTATAATTAGATTTATTTAGCTCCTAGGTTCCTTAAATATGATACAAAATCCTAACACGACCCGAATGCTCATAAGATTATGATATCTCACTGGGCGTTGCTACATGTATTCGGAACATCTCCGAAACAATACATCTTTGTGTAACATCAGTCGGCCGTGTAAGGTCTCTTAGTGCATCTAATTATGGTTAGTTTGCTAACTAGAAGACAGATATACTACCTTCTTAGAATAATGGATTTTACTGCCGTACATAGAGTTAATAATTGGTCAATAAGGCACTATTCAACAACGACAAACATCTCTTTAATGTGACTATAGGTTAAATTTACAAATTGAATCATATTTTTTTTTATTTTTAAAAAATATAGAGGTATCGTCTGTTTTGTTTGTACATTGTGATATTTAATAGCAATAAATTAAATTGAAACATTGCCGCGGTATTGTTGTACGTGATCAAAGACACGTTAATTACACAATCTTTGCCAACTTGTTATTCTTATTCTGCGCACAATTGAATACAATTCGGAACAAAATTATCGTGGAATTTAAAACATTAATATAAATTATAGACCATTTTACACGCTATAATCGTATTGTATTAGAAATAAAATTTTCTTGAAGGAATTAGATTACACAAATTACTTTTGCGAAATGAGTAAATCCCGTATTTTTGTTTATAACAAAAACTCTACCTATACGAAGCGCAAAAAGAGTTGCGTCGAACACATGGAAAACAAATATTTTTGATGATGTAATATAATTATTATTTTTTTACTGATTTCAACTTTTCTTGCTAAGTAATTTTATTAAAATTGCTTTACGAAATAACACCAAAGCAAAGATACGTGTCAAGATGGTGTTCAATTCAGCAATGGAACATGTTCAATTTGTTTTATAGTTCAAATTGATTGAATGGCGTATGTAGGTATGTACTTATGTATAAAGCGTAATAAAATCTGACGTTAATACATAAATGACATTCCATGCCAATAATATCTAATTGTATAGGGCTGCCAAACCGCGTTGAAGTCCTCACAGACAGAGCCGGTTTTAATATTTCCGGTGCATTGCTCGAGATTTTTGCGGCGCCCCGTTTTTTTTTTAAGTAGGAGGAAATCTTCCATCGCAGATGCTCCTTTTTTCCTTTCCTTGCGCCCTGGGCGCCACGCCCGCTTACAAATCCTTTTCTGCTCGTAATAATGAACATTTTTCATTAATATGGCAATAAACAAGAAGGTAAGGAGTACAAAACGACTGCTTACTTATTAAACAACTCTCGAATATTTGCAGTTTATGTCAAATAATGCGACAAATTTCTACGAAAAATAGGTGTGATTTCTACAATCCAATGAATTAATTTGTTGTGGTTATACAATGAGTCGAGACAACTCTAAAAATACATAAAAAAGTGCGTAATATAAAATTAATCCTATCATTTTCTCAGAGAACTACGCGGAAAAAATGTAACGCAAAAAAGTATTTTGTAGCGAAAAATAGATACATCGACATTGAAGGCCAGAGACGAAATCTAAACTTATGCCACGATACAATTTTAATCGGATAGTGCAACAAAACAGAAAGTTTTTGAGTGCCAAAGTGTCTATCGAATTAATTCTTTTTTATTTAATTAACCAATTATTATATGAATTAAAGTTGTAATTACGCATCCATTAACTTATTTATCTTTTGAATTTATAAATATTGTCAACTTGGCTTAGCCCGTTTTATATAATACTATATTTTACTTTCTATGATAACGTGCATAAGACGGCGGTTTAGTATTAACATCTCAACATTTTTAGTATGATTGACAGTAATTTTACATTTGTTTTATAAACAAAACTCGTTTTATTAACAATATTAAATACAACAACAGAGGGAAACAACTTATTTATAATCCCCCTTAGTAACCAACAGCGTCTGTGGGTGCTACAGATCATTTGATTTGATATTAGTTACATATGTATCGAAATTAATTAGCGTGAAATATGCAAGCGCAGTTACAAGGTTCATGTTACGAGTCATATACGAAGCTCTGATGTCACCTGAAACCGCCGGATGCGACGTAATCAAAACAACGCCTGCCTACGATCACGTACACCACACCGCCTTAGTATTCTTAGTTCAACATTGTTGGACGCATTGGAACATTTCAAACATTTGGGTTTGGGATTCAGTTACAATCATATAATTACTACGATGTTTAGACTGTGTTTAAAATGTGAGATCAATTTGGTTCAAGGCAATCTATTTTGCCTTATTTTTTCTTTACAATCTCCAGTTTTTCTCAAACACAAATGTTGACAATTACGCGGTTAAATTCTAAGCGGCCGTTCTTTTAAAATATTTATAATGCATTGATTGCCACTAACATTTATTGTAACGTTTTTTATATTAATGTTATCCCATATTTGTAAAAATTATAATTTGGTCACAACTAACCTGAAGGTCATCACGCGAATGTTTCTCTTGATTTTATGATTTAAGAAGTATAAAATGTTTCATATCTGAAACATGTCTTATTCTTTAATGTGTAGTTTTCCGTATCGATCTTAAAATTGCATTAACCGATGTTAAATGTAAAAAAATTGTTTGCAAATATATTTTAGATTTATAGACAAGTCCACGGAATGACGCAGCGCGGCGTTTCTCACGTGCACAACTCGTAATAACCCACGCACGTCATGTTTTATTTCTTTACACAATGAATAAAAAATTGTTACACAAATCAATAGTGTTAACAATTATCTAATCATTGACAAATACTAATGTTAGCACAAGAAATATAAGCATCATTATAATGTTGTATAGCTTTGTGTATTTACGTATTAATTTTTCAATTAGAACCCTACTTTCTGGTACCTAAACACCCTTTAGTTTGCTGCTATTAAACATATATTTACGGTACATTTTGGCTACGTATTTTTGTGTATTCCGATGACGCTATTCCAAGGCTAGGTAATTTTCGCAGATGTGGTCTATGAACTTTTAGACAGATTTTATTTTATTTATTTGATAATAATATCTAAATTAGAACACGAGTCTCCAAATATGTTTATTTGTTTCGATCAGTATGTTTTATAAATTTTGTTTAATCTATCCATTGTCAATTATCTCTTCGTAAATCTATCAAGCGTGTAGTGAAAAATTAAGAAAGATTAATTAAGGGCGCTCTAGACATCTGGATATCATCCAATGTTGTCGGTGGACATTGTAACTGCTATTTAATTAATTGTAAGCATTTCGTAACACAATTGAAGGATATCAATTCATTTTTGTCGAACATAATTTTAACTGTCAATTGTTTTATTTACCTCGATAAAAAAGATGATGAAAAACTATTTGTGCCATTAAATCGTTGATCATGTGACTAATTCCCTTACAAGCGAAAGTAACGCGAAACGTGAATCCATGAAAGTGAAAACCTTTTAGATCTTTATGTTATTTTTCTTTTAAACTCTAATAATAAATTCGGTTTAATAGTTACTTTAGTAGTTGAGTCGAAGGACAGTAACCGCCCGACCGCAGACTGTTCCATTGTTTAGGTGCGATAAAATGTAACATTAGAATTGTATTTTATTGAACATTGTATTATAAATAGAGCTCTTGGAAATAGTGGAACCAAAACCATAACTTTTGTACATACAAAATTTAATTATCTTCTCATATACATCTGCAAGAGTAAACAGAGAATGTGAAATGGTTAAGAGAGTTAAAAGTAATAAAATGCTAAAAACGGAGCTCCTTACTTTTAGAAGAAAATGGAGATTAAGAGTCCCCTTACACGTCTTTATTCTACAAGCAACCTCCTTGCTACAGCTGCTGTTACTTCTACAACACTTGGCCATAGCTTGAAGACGAGGCTCTATCCAAATAGCATTCCTTGACAAATATGTTGATAGTGAGATTTTAGAGAATTTTATTGGCTTGCTTTTGAGACGATCATCTGTCGCTCGCAGTGGGACCACTGGTGTATACCTTGATCGGAGAAGACGAGGACGGGCGCGTAAGTGTCATTACGTAGCTTGTCCGTGTTGGCGGAGTCCGCACCGCATCGACGCGAGCCTCGCAGCAGCGCGGCGAGCCTGTCGCGCATTGCACGCGCGCGGACACCCGCTGCCGCCGCTGTGGCGCCGGCGCCGGGCCCAGCGAGCCAACTATTCGCCCCACTCTAAATAAATATCGAGTTTCGCAGCAGTCGAGCCCGCCGCGGCCGAGCTACGATGCGATCTCTACAAATGCAACGAATCGGGCGCACAACACAACGCAACGTCGCAAACTGACACATTCACCTTTGAATCACCTAAAATGTTTGACGGCAGCACTTTACACGATATTATTTTAGTATAAAAAATTTATACGGTTATTTTCACTTTTAAGGAATTGGCACGTTTATTTAAAATATATAGTAGTAGTAAAAAATCTGTTTTTTATTTTATTTCACTGATGTTTTTGTTTAACTTATACTTTAATAAGAGCACTTTAATTTAAGATTAATTAAAGAGTAAGAAACAGGACGTAAACAGTTATCGTGGCTGTGGCGCGGGGCAGACTGTCTATTCCAGGCACGACGTAGCGCGGCACAGCGATAGCGAGCACGTGGGCGCCGCCCGCCCTCGCACCGCACACCGCCCGCCCTCACTCCGCGCGCCGCCCGCCCACCGATCAATGGGAGCGAGCAAATCCAACTTCAACACCTGAGCTTTCATAATTTACTCGCAACCACTTATCGCATTGAGATTATCAAATTTAGCAATGCGCTTGTGGCGCGAACTTTTGATGATGTGCATCTACATAATATAAGCATTCTGTATTATATAGGTGTCAAGAAAAAAATATTTTAATATATTTAATTTAAGTATACATATTGTCCTTACATAACGTGTTATAAATATTTTTGTTAAAAAAGTATAACATATTATTCATCAAATTCAAGGAAAAATCACGAATATTTTATTGGAATATTTCCTTAAAATCAAGCAATTGGTTCTTAGTATTATTTTATTTATATCGGGTTCTCCCCAAAACCATAAATTATTGACGCATTACTTAAACAGAATTACAGGAAGAAAGCTTTCTGTATAAAAAATTACAATATTTTATTGTCTTAGTTTCGAATTATCCATATTCGAATATATTAAAAAAATCGTTGTATCAACATGTTTTGTTATTTAATTATCTAATTAAGTAACCGATAGTCTACACCACTTACATACTTCACGTTGGCAATCAGTGGTAAATAAAACACGGGCCAAATCACTTGAAGAGTAGAATCTAAATTAAATAAGTAATAATTAAGTAAGTAATTAATTAAGTAAGTGACTCGAATTGAACAGCAGTAATGACTCATTACTGATCAAGATATCTTTGTAGGTGGATTTTACACTATTTCATAAAGTAATTTCATGCTAAATTGAATATGTTTTGAATTTTAAGAAGCGGGACTTCGCCTATGCCAAATAAAAACAATCAATAAGTTCTAAACTTTCTTCCTTGTCGTCCTCTCTTCCTATACTTGTCGAATCAAAAACCTACACACACAAAATGAGTATTGTGTATTTAGGTTTTGTGTGTGTGAAGACGTTTAAATTTTACCTAAGTTTCAGTTTGATACGTGTGCGCCTTTAAGTCTTGTCGTGTCACCTTGGCTTCCGCAGCCCTTGCGCTCCTGGGTTAAAACGGTCCATATTTTCGTTACGATTCCGCGAATGATCAGAAGATGCGATACAATAAAGATACGTGATAGAATAAAAATTAATTCGAATAAGAAGGTTGTTTAATTTTAGCTGAAACGCGTGCAGTAACGTGACCCGCGTCCGCGCCGATACGTGGCAATTGTTTGGCACTTGTATCAATCGGCGAGCGCACGCCGCCGCCGCTCCGGCCGCGTTATTATTACCCATCAACAACGTTTCAATCGAGACTTAAAGCGATATCTCATTGTAAATTGAATCTTATTTACGATCAATAAACTCTTTTTCGATCGTATCCTTGTTGGTGTTGAAACTTGACGTCTTAATGTACATACTGTTCATTCGTAATGAGCCGTCCTGTACCAATTACGAATCTCGACATGTCTGCTAAACGAAATTAATTTGGCTCCACAAATCAATCTCGAATGATGTTCAAATGTTCATAAACATTGATTTTCATGAGCTTACATTATACGTTTACGTATATTAAAGAAAGTATAAGTTATAGTTTCGTAAATCGTTCAAAAACAATGCATTCCATTTTAAAGATATTTATCGTAGTTGATATTAAAGTAGCTACTTAAGACGCTTATTCCTGTTCTTAAAGTCTTTTACCACTAAGACAATGCTTAATTGGTTTTTTCGTTTATTAAAGACTTAAATAATATAAAATTAAACACGACAGACTAATCATTTTCGTGATAAAGAGTTCCTGAAAGCACTCCACAAACATTTACGACATTAGCTGTATATCACACCCACGGGGGCGAGTGGCAGCGATGTCTAAATGTCATCACAATGCCAACGTAGAATAAAAAATAATTGTTTTCATTCAAAAGAAAAGATTTAATGTTTATTGAATAATCAGAAATCGTTTGATTAAACCGAGAATATTGGTCATAATTTTACAAGTTCTCTACTGAAAAAAAAAATGCTACTATTATGAATCTAGCTGTATATAGGTAACTAAGTAACAGAACCATACATATAATTTGCGTTGTAATACATATAATAATTACACATTGTCAGCACGACGCCATCAATCACATCGCACATGAAACAATGTCGGATAAATGCAGCGTAAATTAAAACTTTAGAATCGAGGCATCCATGTTTGACATATATTCTGAATTGTCTAGTTTGCAGTATTGAGTCAATCTACCAATAAAACTAAAATATTTTTGCTTTATTTAGCTATTTATTAAATCACATACTTTCCTATCTTAATTGCCAAGACTAAGTTTCCATATTTTAAACGTACTGCCCTTGTTTATTAAGAGGTATGTGGAATTTGCTGCAGCCTATCTTATGTGATGTACACGTCAGTCCTTTTACGGAATATTTAATCTAGTTAAAATTTATTAATGCAGTAACACTTAGGATGTTTTACATAGTCAATATTCTCTCAAACTTATTTCACAACATTCATTCGTTATTTCGTTTGCAATTCTTATCATATTACATATCTAAATAAAGAAATATTCCGAACGAGAACAACTACAATTTTAAATGGAGTCTATAAAAGGGTGAATGGCCTTGAAGTAGTTTCAGAGAAAACACTGCTTCTACGAAAGTCCCCTGCGTCCTTGAGATGACCTTTGCAGTTCGCGTAGGATTTTCACCCAAGTAATTGAAGTATACAAAACACACACGTAGGCGAACTATTTTATTTGATAAAATACAAAAACAATTTCATTGTATTAGGAGCGTGAGTAAAAATATAATTTTGTCAAATACGTTTTATTGCACACTTACATGCGCTTAATAAAACCGTTATAACAGCTTATTTTGCAATTTGTCTTTTCTAACGTTGCGGTTTCAATACTTATATTGATGCTAGAAATTATTTTCATACTTGAAGTGGTTAAGTGATCACTTAGGGACTCCTTGAGTGACAAAGTTATGCAGAATGTGAAGTTAACATAATTTAATATAATTACAAATGAAATAGTTAAAATTATTACTACTAAACCTACAAACTGCCACGATGAGCCTCGAAGGCAAGTTATTATAAAACACTAGCTTTTTGATTGGGTTTCGTCTGCGCGGACTTAAATAAGTTAATAGTTAGTAAAGTAATAGCTTAGTAAGTAACCCATGTGTTTTTCCAGGTTATGTTCTACATTTGTGTGAAATTTTAGCGAGATTCGTTAAGCAGTTTTGAGGATATGTACTAACAAATATCCATCTATCTAAACTTTCGTATTTATAATACTAGCATGAAGTATGATAATACGAATGGCATAGTTATGTAATATAATTAATAGGAATGGCGCCAATAAAATCTCGTACATAGCGGCTTCTTAGATATCTCTTTAAATATATATAAAACATTAAGATTATAATTGGACGATATGAAATTGGCCAATAAAATGTTTTTACGCACCTATAGCATATTTTAAACGTTACGTTAACGATATTATATAATTAGACACAGTCGTGAGATGTTCCGATATAACTGTCCGTTTAATTACCAAAGTCCCGTGACCTATAAAATAGGCAGTGTGCACCAAGTTATTTTAGTAAATAACAGAGATTTAAGAAGTCTACTATCAAGTCCGTCCCCGTGGTATTAAAAAAAATAGTAAGTAGCCTATGTGATCTTCCAGATTACCTTCTACATATGTGCCAATTATTATAAAAAATCTTTGAACCGTTAAGGAACCATCTAATAAATATCAATCCAACCATTAAATTTAAAGTTTCGCATTTGTAAGACAGAAAGATAAGATAGAGATAGCCATTCATGAAAAACTTAAAAGGAGGTTCAAACGAAAAATCAATAAGAAGAGAAAAAAAGCATAGATTGTGCGGATTTATAGTTTGTTGTTAACAAATAAGGAACAACGGCTAGTAGTTATATGAGACAAGGAACCCATTTTTCAGATAAAACTTCAAATTAGATGTTATTTCTTTTTACAAATGATTGGAATAATACTGGCATAACACAATACTTCAGTATCAATTAACATAGTTATGCCAGTGATGACTGGAGTGCAATTAGGCTGTCATCATTGTGTCTCAATTACGAAGTTATCCAAGGTCACCTTCACAAGGGAAAGAGGCGAAGTTATTCGAAGGTTTCCTCCCAGTCTAACATCCAGCAGCAAAGGCCATCTTCTAACAAATCAATATATTCCACGCATGCGTCACAGCTGAAACCACTCACTTTGTGAACTGGAGTACCGCTTTTATATTTCATTGATAAAATTTAATTTATCTTTAACAGAAAATATTATTTATAATTTTTAATAATTAAACAACGTCTTATTTAAAGTTATCTTTAAGTTATTGGAGTCTTGTATTTATCGATATTACTTTAATTGGTTTATACGTTTTAATCACACTTTTGATCGTATAGTCCGTCCACGAAAATAAGTATCATGTACACAATGAAAAGTGCTCTAATGGGAGGCGATTAAGACGCCCTCTAACCAGGACTTATGCTTTTAGTCGGGCGACAATTGTGGTGAAAATACTACGTCATTAGTAGTTACGCAATAACCAGCGTCGGTGAAAAGGTTGAAGCACTAATTCTACGGTATATTTTAGAAATTCATCGTATCGTTCGAAATGACTAGGGCTGCCGACTCAACCGGTTGGACAAGTTTTCCGAGTTTCCATAATATTTGCGCTACGTGTTTTACATGGGTTTTTTATTTTTACCATCAGAAGGTAAGTCGAGTCACTTGTCATTTTTTTC